TGATATTAACCTGGGAACCTGTATCCATTTTAATTCGGATTGATTTCCTATCAAGTTCCACTTTTTCATACCAATCTCTTGTTATGCTATCAACTGTATTGTTTTCTATTACAGCACCCACATAGTCACTATCTTGGTCTTCTTCACTGTCCTCATCTATTCCAGCAACTGTTCTGTGTGTTTTGCACATTTTTGCTACTTGATTTTTCTTCTTGCATTTTTTACAAGTTTCTACCCATGCGCTGCAACTTTTCGGTATATGTGTCTTTCCACACCTTTTACAGAAAAACACCTTTTCTTCTTTCTGTCTATTCCTGAACTGCTTGGCAGTACCCTTCTTCTTTATTGACAGTTTGAGTATTCATGGACTCCTGTGGCATAGCTTTGACTTGTGATTTTGCTATTTCCTCAGCTCGGAAATCGTATTAGCCCTGTCTAATTTTAGATCAGGTTCCTTGAGCAGCTGATCTTTGGTAGTCTGTTCTCGAACGCCACAAAGTATTCGGATTGCTATCAATTTATCTGCCACTGCTCCAAACTTACAATCCTTGGACAAAATTCTCAAATTCATGATAAACTCGTCAATTGACTGGTTTTCTTTTTGTACTTCTGTGAAGAACTTGTACCTTATGTTTATTGTGTTCTTGTATGGACTAAAATGTTTTGTCACAGCGTTCAGTATTACTTCTACTGTTATGCTATCGCCTGTAAGAGGTTGGTTTTGTTCGTCCACGAACTGAAACTAGTTGTACAGCTCTAATCCTCTTGGACCGATAACATGAAGAAGTGTAGCTCTTTGTTGGGATATTGTGTTTGTTCCGAGTTCGGCTACTTCCATGAAGATCTCGAAGGATTGACGCCATTTCTCCCATTCTGCGGCTGGATTGTCTCCAATTGTGAAATGTTTCGGTGGTTTGAAGGCCATTTTAGTAGTGCTTGGGGACAAAGTTCTTTGTTATTTCTAACCTCACTATCTTTTCCCTCCTATTGATACTTTATTGACTTGATTTCTGGCTCGTTCAACGACTTTGTTTTGTCGTGCCACTAACCGCTGCCACCATGTTACATACCTTCTATTTGAAGTTGTAATAATAATTATACTTGTTTGGTTTTAATTGGCATTTATCAGATCACCTCGTGCTCTCTTATCATGCGTTTTTTACATCTCTTCCTTGGCGGTATATATTGACACATGACATGAGACACTATTGAGTGATATTGACATTGACATGAACTAGCTAAAGCCTAAGTTACACTAATACGGTGAAGCCTATATTACAAAAATTCGGTACCAACTTTCTAATTTTAAATATAAACCTACATTCTTTTCACGATTCGATCAGCCTTTCAATTCACAATCTGAGTATGTTATCTATCACAGTATTCAAGATATATTGATTTTTCTGAATATAGTTACAGCCGCCTGCCGTAGTAGTTTATGAAAACATTGGTATCTTGCGAACCTTTCCAAATTAGAGTTTCAAGTTTGTGCTACAGTAAGCGAAAGTCCGGGGTAACTCCTGATGTCCCATCAAGATTTTCGAATGTCGCATTGAAAAATTGTCGAATGGCACCTACTATTTTTCGACATAGTATGAAAGATAATTCAATTTGGGAATGAGTTACTCAAGCATTCCCTATACCTAACACGAACCTACATAGAGTTATTCAATGAAGATCGAGAAATAAGCGATACATTTTTCTCCGTGTACACGGTATTGTTATTCAGGGTAACGAATTTTCAGCCATCAAACTTCAAAGGAGGCATCAAAGCTTTTGCATTTGAGCAGAAGATCTCTCGGCAAGATAAGGCATTTTACTACGGCTATAACACAAAATCAATTTTATTTCCCTATCTGATATCACAATGACTCTATTGTGTTATTATTTCAGAAAAATCTCATATTCCCAAGAACTTATAATCCCCATAAGTTGAAAAGAAAATCCAATACCTACCTCCTCTCCCTATTCTTCCTAGGTACGCACGATGTTCTTCGAACATTATAGGAATTCCCTTTCGTGGCTCCAAGAGGTTGAGAAAATAGATTTTCTTAACTCAGAACTAGAAGGCCTATCGAACCGTGTAGAAAATATTGGACTGTCTTTGAAGAGAGAAAGCTTTGTACAGCTGAAGGGCTGAAAATATTTCAGGTAGATTGGATGATTTATGACAGCATACCAATTTCCAATTTTTTATTTCAACTGCAGGTTGGAGAACTTCTAATGTTTGGCCTACGTAAATCACCCTGTATATATAAATGATCTTAGCATCGTAGTGGCCGTTGAACTAATATTTTGATTTTCGTCTTTTACATATGAAGATCTAACTTTAACACGTTCGGTCGCTTTAATGTTGTGAATAACATAAGCAGAGATCGAAAAGTAAAAAAAAATTACGTCCACTACATTTATAGAAGCCCTGTACTTTGCTAATATTTTGTTTATTACGATCTCCATTCTACAGAGTGAGCTTATATTTGTTTATCACGATCTGCTTTCTACAGAGTGAACGATTTGGCATACGTCAACAGCAGAAACAGATACAGGTCCTCTAATCTACCTATACAGGGTGTTTAAAAAAATGTGACCCCCTTGCTAGGGTAGGTAGAACACTGCAAAATGAGTTGGGTTTGCTCAGTAAAAATATGCCGTAATAGCATCCGTTTTCAAGTTGTTGAAAAAAATATCTTTGACACATTTTCACGATTATGTCGAAACTAGTCAGAAATTTCAAACATTACTTTTTGAAGTTCAATTTTTCAATCCAAATTTGATGTGAACTTGTACATCATTCAATTTTTCACCGAAAAGGTACTCTTGGCAAAACTCGATATGGTGTACCGTTTTCGAAATATTTCGATTTGAAAATGATGAAGTGGTAACTGCTGCTGGTAGAAAGCTATGTATTAGAGTAACTATTATGAAAAAGTCTATGCTACAGTTTGTCTTTTTTCTAGTTTATTCATCAAATATTGAAATTAATTCTTGGAAGTATCGATATCGTCTGCACATTTTTTTATCAGTGACCGTATGACCCGTAGAATAATTCTTCTTTATTTATAATTCGCCAATTCACAGTTTCTACATTTCTTACTTTCTTTTCCCAGACATTCATTGAGTTGATATTCACCAACACAAAATGAACAAATGAATTTATTGCTGCATACTCGGCGACCATGGTTGTAACTATCACGTATAGAATTATTGTACTGAACCCGACAACTTTGTCATCTGAGAAATATTCTATTGCCACTATCATGAATTTTCTATAAAGTCGACTCTGGCCATTGACTTCAGCACATATTTTTGTAATATACTGGAAATAGTTGATGTTCTTCTTCTTCAGGAAGATTATTTTGTTCTTTGATTTCTTGCTCAATGTCATTATTTCCATTTCACCCTTCCAGCTTAATTCTTGCGTTATTTTGATTTGAGGATACCGACATTTGCCTTCTTCAAGTGTATATATCATTAAAATGTCTTTCTTCAAACTTGTAAATTCAAAGTTATTACAAATCAGAGACAAGCTAACACCCATCTCATTACTTTTTGTTCACTTAGATTTTTTAATGAATTGGATCAATACCCTTTTTCTTTGGTTTCGATTGAGATAGTGGTTCCATTCCTAGTGTTATTAAACCGATGTTCAGGAATGAAAGTTATATTGATTTTTTCTCTTTTCAAAGTTTGTGAATAAAATATAATCCATACAAGATATATGATGAACTAATTTACATTTGCCATCATATGTAATACTTTCATACATTTTCCACAGGTCATATTGATATTATCTTATCTCAAACTCCCACAATTTTTAAAATCATTGGTAGACGGTACAAATTGCTTCACTTTCTTCTTTGGTTTTTTTCTTGATAGGTTCGACGCATTCCAATTCCAATTCAATGACAAAACATGTTCAAAAATATTGTAGGCATGCGGAAAACAAATTAAGTTTGACCAAATTTTTTATGCAATTTTTGAATTTGGAAACACATTTCCAAAATTCGATGAGGTGTTGTTCTGATCATACAACTTTTATAGAATTTTTTCATATCCAGACCTATTTCACTGGTGCGTTAGTCAATTGATAGTAAATGGAGAAGAAGTGTATCAAATATCAGACAAATATATTATGTGGTTCATTAGTTATGCCTCTTTGAAGAAATGAGCAAAATCGATAAAACAACCTCTATGTCGGTTTGAAGACTGTGCGGGTAATATTTATGGTATATTCAGAGCTCTCTGCCTAATGTTAACGTATGTCCCTTTTCCAGTTAACACCTTGTATGTATTAGTTCCATTTTTCGAACTCAATCAACTGATAATATCAGCGATCAAATCTGTATAACCGTAAGTTATTGGCTCCGTATATAGTGTGATTGTGAATGTAGAATGCAAGTGACTCTAGATATTTATACTCTACAGAAACATAATCAATGTTCGAATATTAACATGTAGATAATCACAGGTGTTTACAGCATTGTGAACGTGACTCAAGCAGAAACGTCGTTTACAGGACTTGCCAAACAGGTCCTGTGAAAATGTTCTTTCTGGAATTATAACCCAACTTTCAAAAACAAGAATATATTGAGGTGCTGGGTTTCTCCATTTGATTTTAGAAATTCAAACTTTTTTTTATCTCACAAAAATTATTTCAGGGAAGATTTTTTCTGTAGTTACGTTGGAAATGGAAGCATATTCATTCCCAAAATGTTCAAAGCAAAGATGAGTGAAAATTTGATATTCGATGTAGCTATAATTTCCCTTCTTCAAACATTTTTAAAACAAGGTTGACTTATTGTGAGAAATTTTTCTTTTAGGTTTCTAACAGTGATTTTTTTTTCAATGCAGTGGTAATTTGGGATAAATCATTCGATGTATCCTTACTGCAAATATTTTGAAACAACACTCATATTTTTATTTATAGAAACAAGAAGCGGAAATTCCAAAGAATCTGAAAGAAATAACTATTTTGATTGTTTGAATTTTTTATCACTCACACTTTTCTGGTATCGTTCATTTCCTGAGGAACTTTTATGGTTTCAACTACTATCTGACTCTTCGTAGGGGACGACCTACTGAAAGACGTCTGGCCAACAGAGACACTATTCAACCTGAAAAATTTCAAATAAATATCACAACATATTCCAATAAATCTTGTTCATGAAAGTAATCATCGGATATTAACTATAAAAAAAATGAATTTCACTCGTGACCCAAAAGCCCAATTGATAGAGCAGTTAGGCCCAGTTCCAAAATTCGGCTTCGTAGTCAAGCTGTTTTTTGATATAGGTTTTTTCAAATATAGAATATACAATATATCACACATCGAATTGATAATTGAATTATCATACAACATATACATATACAACATAAGAAGAGATTATTGGACATAGCCTTCATAAAGAATTTAACAGCAGACAGGTGTTTCGGGTTTTCGGCCATCATCAGTCCTTGACGGAAGACGAAACAAGAAATCGACGGAGTCAACAAATAGAAGCTAGCCGCACAATTGTGGTTTCAGTCACCAGACCCTGCATTAGCAGGACTACATCTAACGTCAACACGGAGGCAGCATAGATACCTGCGTGACATCCGAGACCAGGAGTAGAATTATGATGGAAGGAATATTGAGGGAACTGTTTTAAGCAAACTAGGAAGAGATTATTGGACACGTGTCTGTAGTTAAACTCTTTATGAGTGATATGTTCGATAATCTCTTCCTAGTTTGCTCAAAACAGTTCCCTCAATATTCCTTCCATCATAATTGTCACGCAGGTAGCTATAGCTGCCTCTGTGGTGACGTTGTTGGCTTCTGTTTGTTGACTCCGTCGATTTGTTGTTTTGTCTTCCATCAAGTGTTGCCTATCTTTTGCACTTTTTTACCGTACTGATGAGGGCCGAAAGCCCGAAACACTTGTATGCGGTTTAACTCTTTATGAGGGTTATATCTCTTCCTAGTTTGCTTGAAATAATTCCCTCAATATTCCTTCCATCATTATACAACATATGCACATTTTTTATAGTTCTATATACTGAAACATTTCGAAACATTTTTATTATTATTATTTCGAATCGGTTCCAAATCGGCTGGTTTGCCGTTAACGGACCAAGTATTTATAATGGGCGGATTAGCTGCTTTGAATAATGAATCACTCTCTTATTTTTTATTTCCATAGGTTAAGTTATTATATTCTTCCATTGCTTTAGAAATTGGGTTGTTCAATGCTACTGTAGTTTTAACTTATTGTGAATAAATTTGGTTTTGTCCTCTTGTTTCATGAAGATTTATTTGGTTAACTAGGGTTGAAGCGTTGTTGCATTTTTGTTGATTTTCAAGTATTTTATAAATGAATTTGCATTGATCTATTCGTGCTTTTATTTCTTATGGTAATATATGTTTCCCTATAAACATCGTTGGTTGGTGTTCTGTAATCGAATTTCTATGATATTCTCAAAATCTCATTTTGAAGAGTTTTCATTTTATTGAAAACTTGTTTGGATGCTGTTCCCAGGTATTTATTAGGTATCGGAAAATCAACAAAAAGTATGCACTATAAATCATGCTTTTATTCTGCTTGTTTAGGTAGGTAGACTTGACATCGGTACAGTGCCCCAATCATAGAAACAAGTTTATTAGTTATATGCTCCGTATGTTTTTGCCAGTTCAATTGATTGTCAAGCACTAATCCCAAGTATTTAGTATGTTCCACCTTTTCTATTGAATGATTATCAATATGCATAAGTACTTAATTCAAAGCATTCTTTGTTTTTGTTTTTAGCTCCTTGATGTTGATTTTTGATTTGTTTTGCGTCAGACATTTCGAGTACCTACTTATTTAGATCATTATTCACTTGTTCCTCCAACCAGGAGGGTTTTGAATCTGAATAAACAAAAATGGCACATGTAAGGAATATAATAGGGGGCCTAGGACTGAGCCTTGAGGCACACCACAGTTTATGACTGCGATTTCACCTTCTACTCCATCTATGGTGACATGAATTTACACTGTTTTGGGGTTCGTTCCTGCCTCTTGCCATATATTTTCAAAGTACTTTGCTTTTACAACTTCTCTTATTTATTTTGATTTTAGATGTTCTGAATTCACCTATATACAGAGTCTTTCACAAAAACCTGACTCCCTTGCTAGATTAGGTAGAACACTGCAAAATAAGTTGGGTGTGCTCAGTAAAAAAATATCGTGACGGTATCCGTTTTGAATAAACATGATGTTGAAAAAATGTTTTTAATTTTTTACGATTATGTCGAAACTACTGACAATATTGTAACAAGATTTTGTATGAATGCGTTTTGAAAGCTGATACATCGCATGAATTCGTTTTAATATTTGATTTTCATTGAGGGCACTAGTTACGCGGTTCGTACCGAGTAGTTTGAAACATATATTTTTTGAGGTAAGATTTTTCAATCCAAATTTGATGTGAACATGAACATCAAAAAGGTAATAAATAGAACTCGATACCGTGTACCGTTTTCGCAATATTTTGATTTGAAAATAATGGAGTAATAGCTGATTCTGGTATAAAATAAATTTTATTGAGATCAATTACCTATTTATTCAAATTCTAAAACAAAACCATCATTCTTGTGCTGGAGATATTGATCGAACAGATAATCAAGTAGAAAATTGAGAAAAAAATTACTAAGACATAAAATATTGAATCATTTAGAGTAGGTATTCAAAATTCTTAGGAATAAAATATTCTTTTAAACGGTTGAGGATCAGCTGTTAGCTCAATTAAGTGATGTTCAACCTTGTCTTGCAACTCTTGTGACGTGAATTTACCTCTGTAGCATAGACTTTTTGCTTAAGATACAACGAAACTATGTAATCCATGTTTTTAGTCAAATTTGTTTCAATGTTATTCTTGTGATTCATTGTTTAATCGATGTTTAGTAAAAAATGTATTGTTGTTTTTGGTTTCCAATAAATAGGTGATAGGTTTTTCATAATATTTAATCTAATACATAGCTATACCAGTAACAGCATCGAGTTTTACCAGGAGACCTTTCTGATGTGAAATTGAATGATGTTCAAGTTCACTTCAAATTTGGCATGACAAATTTAACCTCAAGAAAGTTATGTTCAGAATTACTCGGTACGAACCGTGTAACTATCGCCCTCTATGAGAGATACAAGATTTCATTACAATATTGCAAGTAGATTCGCAAAATCGTGATAAATGTTTAAAAAAACATTTTTTTAACAACTTGTATCTTGAAAACGGATGCCCCTACGACATTTTTTTACAAAGCAAAACCAACTTATTTTGCAGTGTTTCACCTACCCTAGCAAGGGGATCAAGTTTTTCTGAAACACCCTGTAGAATGTTTTAATCAAGTGGAAATAATGAAATCCAAGAGTTGGCAGTTCGCCTGGCAGATGTCATGAAAAGGAGGGATATTTGGCTAGTTCAAGTCAGTATATTCCAGCATTTACATGAAAGATGAAGGGAAAATATTAGTCTCGTTACCAAATTCCGCTAGAAGTGGAGGATATACCACAAACAAACCCTCAAAAAATTAACAACTCACTCAGAGAACTTAAGTGCATTGGAGGAGCTGTAGTAAATAAAAAATACCATTGATAAAGCGAACAAGTTGGTGAATAATAAAAATCTAAGCTCGTACATTGTCGATCTGAATGAAAACCTAGTAGGCGACCTAGTGCGAGGAGGTATAATATTGTCTGTTCATTCAATCAAAATATGTCTGTCTGTCAAGTGGCGCTGAGGACGAGAAATTGGAAAGAGCTCATTTGTTTATGTCAAAATAGACCATATTAGGTTGATATTTTCTTTTTCTGTTTTTCTCCAATATGTACTCAACCATAGACGTGCTTTCCATGTACTCAACCATAGACGTGCTTTGCATCATTGACTTGAAATTCGGTACGAAGGCGATTGAGAAGATTATTTCATGAGATTGAGATGTCGTTATTATAAAATCATTTTCTGACAGTTGTTATCAACTTATAACTTCGTATTTGTGGATATTTTGAACTTTGAATTCGTATCCTTGAAAACTACAATTATACCTAATTATTTCTTCTATAGTATTGGTTTTCTATTAAACTTTGTTGATTGGTTTGTGAGTGCGATTGTGTTATTTTGCAATGTCATCTGGAAACTTCGCACTCCAGGAGGTGGAGGTGTAAAATTATCAAGATATGGCTTCCCCAATCCCCACTGTTGTGAATTTGAGCCTCAAATCCTGACGCATCAATGGGTTTATGACATATTCATTGGATTCCAAGGTGAAATTTTTTTCTTGAATCACATAATAGTTGAAACTTAATACATTGATATTTCAGGAATGAGAGTTTTTTAAGTTAACGAACATGAACTGTATGTTTCCAACATTTCAAGGGAACTGTTTCTTGCCAATGAAGAATTGGAAACTGTTTTGGAAGGAGGGTTCCGTTCCAAGTTTGTTCAAGATAGGTATATATATGAATAAAATGATATTTAACAAGTTTGTACTTAAACAAACTTTTCAATCAGCTTATTAGTTTCTAGTTTACTAGAACTATTAGTTTCAGTATAAATATTACCAAGCACTTGACTTTGGTTCCTCTGAAAATTTTTCCATAGTCAAAAGTCATTAAATTCATTCCAGAATGGTACAGGATATTGAAACTGGGGACAAAATAGGTATCAATATTTTTACAATTTCAGACTCATCAATGTAGTTTGGAATATGATGCTGAAGAGGAATTCCTTCTTTAAGGAACACGACCTGGAGATGAAGAAGCATCTGAGGAAGAAACGGGCATTTGAACAGATATTATAGAATGATAATAAATAGTGATGGAGTTTATTCAAAATGTTGACACAATATAAATCAAAAAGTTACATATCGGTATTGAATATTCCTGTGGATTCATTTGTGGCAATTATAGACACATCTTCCCTTATTTAGTGAAATTAGTGGCTTCAATAAGATGATTTTATGAAAAATAATCATTGTTTACCTTTAAACCTTTGGTACAATATATATAGTGTTTTCAAACTTACCTGCCAATACATCTGTAAAGCAATAAACAGGGTATCAGAAGAGAACAAACTAGTAGAATAAAATTTGAAATAATTCTTTATAATTATATACAATTTATAAAAAAAATATATTGTCATTCCTACATATACAAGTTATTTTCCAATAAAAAAAATTCGATATATCCCAGCATCTTGGTATATTGCGTGTTTGGAGCAGAATATCCATGAGACATTGATGAAATAACTAGATTGAGTCTAACCTTATTGCTTCTATATATTCATTTCAGATGGGAGATTTTCCATTCTGTTCTCAAACATCATCATCCTTCTGGTACATTTCTTCTGAACATTACTCACATAATGATTCCTAATGTGATTCTTCCGCATCAATTTGTTTGTTTCACTCATAGTTTTTCGTTTTTCATCTGGAAAGCTATTCATGTAGGACTCTTCGCTGTAGGTAGGTACCTGAAATTTTCAAGTATAGTGATTCCGAAGTGTACATGGTTTACATCACTAAAGACATGTTTTCACTGCAAATAACGGAATTTTATGAATTATATACTAACTTATCTAAAATATAGAAGAAAATAAGCAGCCCCTACCTTTCTGCTTGGCTTGCATGTCGAATAGGGTGTACAAGCACTGATGAGTTCCCGAATTTTCCACAGTTCCAACATAAATTCAAATTGCATCATAAATCATACTAATACAGCATTGCCTACACATCTTCCTGCTCCCATTCGAGTATAGGAAGATGATTTTCATACTTGATAATATCTTTTGTGATAATGTTTCATTTTCGTGTTTCAACATGACAGATTTTTATTTACAAACTTGACAGGACCATGAAAAATGTTACGGTTAGGAATAAAAAATGAATAACTTAGTTTACTTAGTTCACGTAGATGTCTCTGAACTACATATTTTCTTCATTTTTCTTTACAATGAACAGACAATATTATAGCATCTGCCTACTAACTAGCTAACTAGGTTGTCATTTAGAACGACAATGGCTCGTAGTCACGAAATCATTATAGAAATTCTTCATTTATTGTTGTGTTATACAGAGTGTCACGAGGAGCTTACTCTATCTTTGTATCGAGAATCAGTCGCAAGAAATTTGTAAAAATATACATGCTTATTATTGAGATTGCACTCTCTTCGTTTTAAATATTTTCGCCAATGCAGTGTAGCCGCTTCCATCGAAAAGTTGCAACAACTTTGTTATTTCTAATGGAATGCCCTGTATTTCATTGCATATTTGGTTTCTTCCTGAAAAGCTTATTTAATAGATATATCACAGTTGAGGTCTAGCGGAAATGATTACAGGGTGTTCAAAATCGATATTTTTCAACTTTTGATTTACTATCCACTGACATTTATTTGGAACCTCAGAGGGTGGTTCAGGATTCAGAATTCTGATCACCGTGTATCTGTTCCAATTCAATGTCAGTAGAGTTTCAACACAAAAAAATACCATAGTTGAAAAATTTTGATTTTCAACACCCCATTATCTCTGTAATGATTCCCGCTAGACCCCAACTGTGATGCATTGATGAAATCAGCTCTTCAGGGAGAATCTAAGAATACAATGAAATACAGGGTATTCTAATTGGAATATCAAAATTAATACTACTTTCTAGTAGAAGAGGCAACACTGCATTGTCAAAAATATTTTAAACGCGTTATCTCAAATATGTTTTCATTTCCATACATTTCTTGCGATTGATTCTCGATATACCGGGAGTCCGTAAAAGGTCTGTACAAAATCCCCAGCACATATTCGGAAAACCCCAAGCTATCAATTTTCAAAGTAATTCGTTAAAAAGTGTTCATACATTTAACCCTTTCATTGCGGGTAAAATTTTGATAGTCGTGCTCTCAAAACGGGGAAAATTCAGCGTTGCGGGAACGCCCGTTTCCCGGTAGCGATTTTACTAAATATACTGCACGCTAGCACAAACCACGCCCACCATAATACGTCATATCTCCAAACATTACCGATATACTCGGAGTCAGCACATCGCACTAAATATACTGTGCTCCAACGCAAGAATACACTTTTTATGATTTTGACACGAATTCGACTGAAGCTCTCTCGTTGTCAATCTCTTGTACGCAGTAAATTCATACACCCAAATGGTCTACTGGTTAGCGCTGTCGACTTTCAGTCTGAAGGTCCATGGTTCGAATCGCTGTGAACTTGAACTTTTTTTTGCAACTTTTTTTTTTCACCAATGTTTTTTTACTTCATTCTGGTTTTCCTTTTTCATAAAATATTTGAAGTCAAATAGGTTAGTGCGTTTAGGATAAACAGTCTCATTTTATTCAATTTTGTTGTAGAACTCAACTTTTGAAATATATTATTAATCAATGTGTTTCTACACTCCATTCGGTTTTCCTTCCTCAAAAATATTGCAATCAGGGATAGGTTAGTTCGTTAAGGATAAATAGTCTCTGAGTTTTGCCTAAGTACTTCGAAGATGAGATATTACGGTGGGCGTGATTTGTGCTAGCGTACAGTATATTTAGTAAAATCGCTTCCCGGTATACGCAAGTCAGGTACGGACGTGTACACCCGTCTCCCGCAACCACAGGGTAACTTGTGAATGCGATTTTTTTACTTACCAAAATAAATTTTATTTCACTAGTCTTTATTTGAAATGTGATGTTATAATGCGTTTCCTCATATCTATAATGAATTGAAAATATTCCCATATATGAAATGGAATTAAAAAAATTTCGACAGCATATGACACCTTTCAAAACATTTTATAATACGCAGTGGAACATCACAAGACGCAAAGCAGAATTAAATTTCTTTTAGCATACAACAACTCGTCATTGAGATATTTTCGAGCTATCTGTTAGGTCATAATAACATTGATCTGCTTCGAAATGTATATTACTATCCACTTTATTGACTAAGCTGGATTTCGACTCAATGAACAAAACGAGTGTTGACTTTATTAATTTTTATTCTGACTGAAGTTTCTTCCAATCTGACATCTATCACATTTTATTTACTACCATGTGTAGGATATAAATGGACAATATAATCAGAATGAGTATATGGAAAATTGCACAACACAATGTGACCAACATATAAAACAACTGTTAAAATTATATGTTAACACTATCGTGGTTTAAATCCACTTGAAATAAATAAAAACCAACCAAATGATGCAGCTACTACTTCGATACTGAAATATTGAATAAAATGAAAACCGCATCCACAATTGTTAAATCCTGTTGACACATGTTTAGTTGCATCTTGACGGAAACGCCGGGCTCCCGCAATGAATGCGTTAAAAACACGTGCGTGAAAAGCCGTCTCCCGCGTATTTGGTGTACAAATGTATTGTTTTTCCGGTTCCCGCAATGAAAGGGTTAAGAAAATCGAATTACATTTTTGTATCTCGGAAACAGACTAGTTTCAAACTGAAGTAGTATGTCCCAAGATGTTGTACAGACCTTTTGTAGGGACATCCTGTAATGATAGTATAAGCTCGTCGTGACATACCCTGTATATGTGTTCATTACCAAAACATTATACACTCCCTTAACAGTTAGTTCTATCAGCATGAGAAATCATGTACGACATCAATCCGCACAATTCACATTCACACATTTCAGTTTTTTCTCTGAAAGTAGAACTAGAAAAAGTAACTGACTAACTAGTTGGTTCATTGTACCAGTATATCACCAGACGAAGCTACTGTGTTAGCGAAACATGTCGTGTGTTTGAGAATTTTGTGGAAATCTTATCGTTTGTGGAGTTTTTACATTCATGAATGTTTTGAATAATGGAAAGTGGACGAAAATGTACGAGGCCAGAGAATTTAATGACAAATTTAATGGTTTTTACAATACTTTCACATACCATTTCTGAAACACGTTTCCATATAAAACGAAAAGAATTAAAAGCCACAAGAAAGATGTTTGGTATACGCGAAAATTGAAGTAGAATCACATATTATGAGGATAACAAAAAATTATAATTCAACAGAAAATAATGAAAGTTAGATAAAAAAACTAGATCAAACCAAAAAACATATATAACGACAACAGATTAATTAGGGCTAATAACATATCAAAGTAATCTTGGAAAATCATTGGGGAAATCAGGGGAATAAATAACAAAAACAATGAAATACCAAATGAAATTTCTCTAGATAATGGAAATATTGCATCTGGTCCCGTGAATATTGCCATTGTGCCAAAACAAATTATGCAAGTCTGGAATTCACTAGTTATAAACGAAAAAAATATTTTCTTTATCCCACGAAGCCTGAAGAGATAATTACATTGATTCAAACAACCGTAAATGTGTAGATGAGATTGGGGGTTGCATTTTTCATGCAGTGTCAAATAAAGTTAGCATACCGCTTTCATATCTGATTAATATACAGGCTGATTCACGGTGGATGGCACATTAGATGTATCTGGAGAACGCAACTTAGGATTATTCTGAAAAGTTGGTGCCTTGAATAATTAGTTGTGTTCTATCGACCTGAAATATTCTCAGCATTGCGACGTTGCCGCTCATATTCCAAAATAGATGACTTTATATGTTTTCTGTTAAAACAAACAAAAACCAAAAATTTCTGCTTAATGGCGATATTTTGAATACTCAAATTGAAAGGTCCACTTTTTTTTAGATTATTATTCAGCGCAAAAAATAGCAAACTTTGTTATAATCCAAGATGAATTCGCACATCTCAAGATAACCGAGACCCCATGCTTAGGATTGAATATATTATATGTATATTTCGATTTGAAATAGCACTTTGATAATATAGTTTTTCAATATAATCACTTGAGTTGGATTAGGAATTTGGAACCAGCAATTATTTACAGATCATCACTAATGATATGAAGTATGTGTACTTACTGTACGCTCTCATTTGCTATATCATTACTTGTATTTGGCACAGAAGTCAACATCATTGGAGTAATCCTTCTTTTCCCAGATGGCAACCTCGTCTCAACTTGCTTATTTGCTGGAACCAGAATACTCTGGTTCAAATTTGGAGATTCAAATGAGACATCTTTATTCACTAGATGAGGGTCCTGGATTTCAATATTCAGAGGAGGTTTAACATTTTCCTCATTAATTTCATCAATTGCGGAGAGTAGTTCAGGGTTTTCAACGATTTGTGTTCCTTGAAAGCTGAGATTCCAATTCTTCTGGAAGGATTTGTGGTATACACGTTCATAGAGAGTATTCTAGAAATTAGAAGAAATTCATAAATTTCAGGACATATGAGGCAGCTATTTTGTACAGTTAGGACTGAGATTTGAAGTCTACTATTGTTAACCCATTGTGAAGATAGAGAAAATCGTCACGAAATGATATACACCTCTACATCAAATAGATAACGTGATATGATAAAAGCGGAGATTACGTGTCAATTATTAAACTAAATTACGTGGGCGTCACAAACTAACCAACTGATCCAATACCTACAGACTTATTTCTTTGATGTTTCATTGACAGTGAAGTATTGTCAGCATAATATAAATCAATTTGTGGAAGTTTAACCAAACGAATTACCTATGATTATGCATTTGTAAAAAGTGAGGTACCTTATCTAGTTCCTCAAAAGACAGGCTCCTATTAATTGACAATTAAAATATACAGGACAGGGTTAACTCATGCAACATGGAGTTACTACAAATTGTTTTGGATATAGGGAAGTTGAAATGTTGTGAAAAGATTCAATAAATTTTCGTTTATTGGTAGGCAATAATTTTATCACCATAAATTGTGACCGCATTTGAAAAAAAAAAGTATTAATTCGGACAATGAATACTATTTTACGATTGGAAATAAGGGTATATATACAAAGTGAATTTATACTAGAAAACTTTATTTGAACTTGTCAATATTAACCGCTTTAGAGAAAGGCACCTTTTGGAATCTCATTTTGAGTATGGAAATAAAAAGAACCTGAGTGATAATTGTTTCATTTGATCGCTAAATTAAAATAATAAACAATTCTAACCTCTTAGATTCCCCCAAATACAAAACCACTCCAAGAGACCCACCCGACAACTTACATCGAGAAGAAGACCAAAACTATCATCAATAATTTCAATTTATCGGCGGAATCAAAGAATATTACAATCCGTAGAGAAAAATCATCACGTATTTATTTACTACCCAAAATGCATAAACCCGATATCCCATCATCATCATATCTTTCACAATTTAAGTTTACCAGAAAATCGTAATAATATACAATCAAAGAAGAATTTTAAAATTCCCGGTTGAATATGAACAGTTAGTTGGCAATACCATCATTGGAATGTCCACGTCCTGTTCTGTTTTTAATTCACTTTTTGAATTTTGATAATTGACTCATGACAGATGAAGTTTTGATCATTGCATGATTCTTTTAGACAGGCGTCCATGTTAATGTTCTGATTGTCAGCCATGTTCTATTAATTAATAAATATAGTAGCAAGAATGCGTTGCAAGTTTTCTCGACATTTTTATTAATCTTCAAAAATATTGAAGTTTTCATGTTGTGAACGTTCTTTTACACATGTATTATTCCCCACTTAAGGGAAGCCAGCTTCAACGAAATCTCATTTTTAGTAATCGATAATGACGATTGAATTTCATACCAATTTCAATGTTTTTCTAGAATCCCTGATGAAGAGCCAATAAAGACTCTAAAGCTCGAACAGAAACGAGAGTACACTTTGTTTTACTTTGCATGCCCAATGGAATTCACAGTTTCATCCTTAACTCAGACAGTCATCTAATCCTCTCTATATATATATATACAGGGTGTCCCAAAATTAGCATGCCAAACTTCACCAGCGGCTTTTACGACCAAAAATTGGAAGAAAACTTTCAATGAACATGAGTCGAGAAATGTCTCCTAAGGAAGCTACGGTTCCCGGAAGCGATTTTACTAAATATACTGCACGCTAGCACAAACGACGCCCACCATAATACGTCATATCTCCAAACATTACCGATATACTCGGAGTCAGCACATCGCACTAAATATACTGTGCTCCAACGCAAGAATACACTTTTTATGATTTTGACACGAATTCGACTGAAGTTCTCTCGTTGTCAATCTATGGTACGCAGTAAATTCATAACCCCAAATGGTCTACTGGTTAGCGCTGTCGACTTTCAGTCTGAAGGTCCATGGTTCGAATCGCTGTGAACTTGAACTTTTTTTGCAACTTTTTTTTTCACCAATGTTTTTTTACTTCATTATGGTTTTCCTTTTTCATAAAATATTTGAAGTCAAATAGATTAGTGCGTTTAGGATAAACAGTCTCATTTTATTCAATTTTGTTGAAGAACTCAACTTTTGAAATATATTATTAATCAATGTGTTTCTACACTCCATTCGGTTTTCCTTCCTCAAAAATATTGCAATCAGGGATAGGTTAGTTCGTTAAGGATAAATAGTCTCTGAGTTTTGCCTAAGTACTTCGAAGATGAGATATTACGGTGGGCGTGGTTTGTGCTAGCGTACAGTATATTTAGTAAAATCGCTTCCCGGAAAGGGGGCTCCTGAAGAAGGAGTGTATAATACAGGGTGAGACTACATTAAATATTGCTCAACATTTTTTGTATGCATATTTTTCGACAATTTGATCTCGGATTATGAAATTTGGAACCTCTTTACAGCGTGACGTGACGATCAGATGTATTGTTATCGAGTAAAAGCAATTTAAAACTATTGTTACATCTAAGATAATATGCATACCATTGCAATGAGGCGTAGTGGATATGGAAAAAAATGCACAAAAATGGAAGTAGATTTCTCATCATCATTTTTCTATTCTTCGCGTTTTTATTAGATTGTTCGGTAAAAAGAAAGTATTTGATTTTTTTATAGCCACTATGATTTGATATTTGGCTACGTTATGCATAAAATGTGAGTGTATCAAGATTTTTAAATCGATTCCACTCGAAAATGATACATCTGATCAATGCGGAAAAAGAGCACCTTTTTTTGTGAAACGGTGTGGATTTTCATAATCCGAGATTAAATTATCAAAAAATATGCATGCAAAAAAGTTTGAGAAATATTCATTGCAGTCCCACCCTGTATTACACACTCCTGAATGAAACTTTGGAATGGTTTTATGTCCACCGCATTGAGCATGTAAATTTTAGTTCTTGTACCAAATTGCATCATTTTTTCAGGGGGCCGTAGCTCCCTTAGGCGACATTTCTCGACCCATGTTCATTGAAACTTGTCTTTCTATTTTTGGTCGAACAAGCCGCTGGTGAAGTTTGGCAGGCTAATTTCGGGACACCCGTATAAGTATATATCTTCCCTTGCGAGACAGCTACCAGTTACCATAACCCAATTGATATTTGAGACCCACCTGATACCCACTTAGTTGTGTGTAGGCCAGGTATGGGTGTAGGAAGTGAAGTGCGTGTATTTGTCTTACCTATACTTCAAAACTCAAATTATAAATTTCAAGTTTACTTCAGCAAAAAAAATGACAATGACAATTTGATGAAGAAGTATATCACACTTGTTGATGGTTTTTTCAATTTCTCCCCTCGCAAAATCTCCAAATCGCGACATTCCACAGATTAAATACACTTCTAACAACGCAAGATTGATAAAAATTTACATAACCGCCATCAAGATTCGTTCACAATATTCTGGTTGTCATGGTTTCCAATGTCACGTTCCGTTTTCTCGCTGGAAAATCACAGCTGTTTGGGATTTTTTATACACGAATTAAATTGTCGGCGACATAGCATACACTGAAATCCGTCAGTTGCTGCAACCTATTTTATAGTGAAAACCTATTCAATACCCATTTGTTTAGAAATTTCAATGGCCCCAGGACTGCCATTATTATATCATTCCGAAAATAATAGACCAGGGTCGGTAATTTTTAAAGCCGAAAAAATTAATAGTAGGATGAATCCCGTTAGAGAGGACGCGAATATAACAAAAATCAAAGAAAAAACAATTTACGGGCGATCTGAGATCGGGAAGTGGAAGGGGGTTAGTTTTAAGGGTAAAAAACGGTGTATCTCGATTTCCGGCAAAACCACGAGTCTTATGGAAAAATATTGAATGACAAAGTTGTAGCTTATAAAAAGACCTACAACTTTTGTAATCACACTTTTTTCACATTACCTCAAAATTTATGTGAAAAATTTATATAATCAAGTTTTTGGTTTTTTATTTTTCTTATGCAAAAAAAATTTTTTTCCACGAAATTTGGTGAAAATTTACCTCCTCATGTCCTGAAGACACTGTAATTTTTAATTTGTTGATTCAAAATATTTATTTTTTCACCTTATTTTGACTTGATATCGAAAACACACCCAAATTTTCAGTCGAAAATTCTCACGTCAAAATATCCACTTTTTAAAAAAACTCGGGGCGTTTTTTGTTCGTTGAGATCTCTTCTTTCTGATAATATGAAAAAATATATACATCACTATAGTGAATGTTCTCAGAAATGCGAAGAAAAGAAAAAAACTCGAATCCGATTTTTTCTTATTCACTATGTACAATTTCGAGCGATTCAGTGAAATTTACACTTTAGTTACATAAAGATTGCAAGGAACATACGAAAATAGTTGTTCTAAATATTGAAGATAGGATTTAAATGAAGTTATAGTGATTCAGATGAAATTGTGGGAGAAGGACCAATTCAGACTAAAAATAATATTGAATACGAAGACGGTGATGGTCTTGAAGATTTCAAAGATTCTCTAGAATCGGGAAGGTTTGTCGAATCTAACGATGAAGAAATGCCACCGAAGAGACGCAAAGTCATTACCACACTAGTTCATAAAATGAACGAAAATGGTAGATAACGAGAGAAAAACAACTACTTTCCTGTCTATATGCCACGCAGAACATTGGATTACATCCTCCCGAAATCTATGCGATAATTCGTATACACGAATGAAATCGCAAGTGTTTCCTTCCCAAACGCTGAGCTGCGCTTAAGTGGTTCAGGAACGCATGACTATCTGCAGACCGGTTTCGAGCTGTTGTCTCTCATCAGTACAGGGCTGTCCTAGATAGCTTCTTGACCACTATCTGGTGCGAACCTGACCCAACGTAAACGCATCTCAGCATTTATACCACATGAGGCGATCGAAGTTCGCAAATGAAAACGCGAACGCAACCTGGTAAGGAAACACTACACTGTTTTACCACTAACCAAACCGATTTTTTAACGCCTCGACACGTGTTTCGCTAACTATGTTAGTTTCAATCTTCTCCTGAAGATGCTAACATAGTTAGCGAAACACGTGTCGAGGCGTTAAAAAATCGGTTTGGTTAGTGGAAAAACAGTGTAGTGTATTATCGTGCCAAAGGTTCCAGTCTTCGATATACTGGTAAGGAAAGAAACATTCCAAAACAAGATCCCATTTCAGGTGGAATGGGAGTGGCTGGTTGCCCGACTGGCGTATTTTCAACTAGGAAAAAGCCAAATACTCAAAGTGGAATGCAATGGTCACAAAGAGAGAGAAACACAGTCATTACCACACTAGTTCATAAAATGAACGAAAATGGTAGATAACGAGAAAAACAAATACTTTCCTGGCTATATGCCACGCAGAACATTGGATCACATCCTCCCGAAATATATATCTTGTTTTGGAGTGTTTCTTTCCTTGCCAGGTGGCGTTCGGCGTACGCGTTTTCATTTCGCGGACTTCGAACGCCTCATGTGGTATAAATGCTGAGATGAGGTATCATCACAAAAGGTTCGCACCAGATAGCGGTCAAGAAGCTCTCTGGGACAGCCCTGTACTGATGAGAGCCAACAGCTCGAAAGCGGTCTGCAGGTAGTCATGCACCACTTAAGCGCAGCTCAGCGTTCAGGAAGGAAACACTTGCGATTTTATTCGTCTGAACGAATTATTGCATAGATTTGTGGAGGATGAATTCCAATGTTCTGCATGGCATATAGCCAGGAAAGTAGTTGTTTTTCTCTCGTTATCTACCATTTTCGTTCATTTTATGAACTAGTGTGGTAATTAATGACTTTGTGTTTCTCTCTCTTTGTGACCATTGCATTCCACTTTGAGTATTTAGCATTTTCCTAGTTGGTAATGAATAAGTGATTAGGGTTCAAGAAGAGATTTATAAATAAGAAGATAAATGCATTAAAAAATATTAATATGAATAATAATAATCAGTATAAAGTATCTAAATTTGATAGTATGACTCACATTTTTATTCATATATTGTGGGACTATGACATAAATGTAATTAGAATTCAATAAATCAACTTTTTGACTGAAAAAAATTGCAGCAATCACATTTTTTTATTGAAATCCCCCCTTTAAATCCTATCTTTAATATTTAGAACAAATATTTTCGCATGCTTCTTCTTCGCATTTTCTGATAACATTTACCATAGTAATGTATATATTTTCTTACATTATCAGAAAGAGGAGATTTCAACAAAAAACGCCCCGAGTTTTTTTGAAAACCTGATATTTTGACGCGGGAATTTTCGGTTGAATATTAGGGTGTTGCTTCGATATTAAGTCAATATAAGGTGAAAAAATAAATATTTCAAATCAAAAAAATTACAGTGTCTTTAGGACATAAAAAGGTAAGTTTTTATCAAATTTCGTGACAGATTTTTTTTTTGCATAAGAAATAAAAAACCAAAAACTTGATTACTTGAATTTTTCACATAAATTTTGGGGTTATGTAAAAAAAGTATTATCACAAAAGTTGTAGGTCTCTTTATTACCTACAACTTTGCAATTCAACTTTTTTTCCATAGGGCTCGTAGTTTTGCTGGAAATCAAGATAAACCGTTTTTTACCCTTGAAAACTCACCCCCTACCACTTCCCGTCCTCAAATCGCCCGTAATTCATTTTCCCTATCATCTTTGTTATATTCTCTTTCTTTTTTAATGCGTCTCATCCTACTATGATTTTTCTCCACATTTTACCGTTTTCAAAGGCTTCAGCACTGGTCAAGGAAGGGCATCAGATACCTGATTAGAAACTAGGTTGATAAATGTATTGTTCAAACATCACAAAGGGAATTCGAAATTTTATAATAATGTAAATGAATTGTTTTCAACAACAATTATATTTTCACTTATATGTTTGACTATTTATTTCAGAAAGTGTTCAGAGTTTTGACTGAATCTGAACAATATCAACTATAAAAAAAATGACAAAGTCGAAGTATATATTTGTTTACCTCACCTTTTCATCCATCGATAATGGTGTTCCAATCTCTTGCTGAGTAAATGTAACACATGCAACGGTTCCGTCCCAAGAACATGCCAAAAGGTACAACCCATTACTGCTCCAAGAAATATCTAAAACGCTGTCATCAAAAAGATCTTTTATGACAACTAATGGTCGTTTGAGTGAAGTTAGCCATACACTTATGGAGCGATCCCTAGAACCAATTGCACAACAGCAGTATTGTGTGGATTTCGGCTTGTCTGGGGTTTCTTTCTTCAATATGTTGGAATTGAATCTCTGAAAAAATGATGGAGATTACCTGAAGATAGATATATTAATACGTTGATACATCCCTTGTAATACAGTTTCAGGGTGCGATTGTACAAACATTAAATGGAGGTGCACGTTATTAGGGTATAACCCGATAGTGATCGGACTGAAGCCCTTCATTATCTATATATCTACAGGGTTTCATTTATACTTCAATTTTGTTCCAAATATAAGAAAAGAAATTCCTATAAATTCGGATCGCAAAATTATTCATAAATGTGCTACAGCACCCTGAACGTGAGTTCCTTTTATTCATTATCTCCAAAACTAGTAGAAGCAAAATGAAAAAAATTGCCCAGGAGTAGGGTAACTTGAATGGAAGGTGGGGTACAAACTACCCCAACTTTGTTTTCCATGTTTGTTTTTCAAGATTTTATCCAAAATAATGAAATTTCAGGGTGTTTCACTCTTTGCAATGTACTACAAAAATGCTGAAAGTGAAATCATAGTGGCTTTCACTGCTTGCATTCTTCTGAACGGAGACAATAACATTGCTTCTTGTTCAGTTGATATAGATAGAACATAGTATTCACTACTGAAATCTGAAAATGAAAATGGTAAATACAAGATTGATTAATGACAACATCCTGTAACTCATTTGATTGCCAACGTCACCAATTGTCACTGAGAACTGAAAAGTTTCAAGACAGATAGATACGAATTTGATATTCAAATAACCATTTTTTATGTTGAAAACGGGAACAGATTCGTTCCCGAAACGTCCAAAGCTAAGTGAATATTTGATATTTTTTCTATGTACCTTTGTTTCTCTACTCCAAACCTTTTTCAATACAAATTGTCACTGACAAGCTGGTGAATTTTTCAATTAGGCTCTCTGATAGGAAAATTCTTTAAACACAGTGACATTTTGGGGCAGATCATCTCATTTGTCCTTACTACACGTATATTGAAATAATATTCATTTTTATTTTATGGAAAGGAGGAGAGAAAATCCCAAGAAATCTGGAATAATGAAGTGACATATTTTTGAACTGTTGAAGAGAAGCAAAAATGTCTTCATTTCCAAAATTTTACTGAAACTTCAAACTGTTTTCAAGAATATAAGTTTGTATGAAAACTACAGATTCTGCTTGATGCGCCCTGTATATGAGGCAATAATTTCTTGTCATAAACCCTGTTGTCTAGTTTACATTTGTTTTTGATTCATATTTTTGGCCGGCATAGGAAACTCGAGGAATCGGACTCTAACGTCCTTTTGCCTCACCATGTATAACACGTTATAAACACACAATTTGGTGTTGTTAGTGATAAAAAAATTACACGTTTTCGGACTGGTTGCATGGATGGCCTCAAGAGAAAGTCGTTTGATATACTGACTATAAGATCTAAATCCGTCAACCTTATATACTGAGAATCTATTTCTGAAAAGTTTGAGGTAACCATTTCCCAATGGCGAAGTGGTAACTTTATATTCTCACCACACAAGTAACAGCTTTCCTGTGCCCTACGAAATCCTTATCTTGTCTCCATCCCTCTCTTTCAATTATCTGTGCTGTTGGTCCACCACCATTCATAGCATGGGCTGATACCAAATACTGTCCATCAGGTGACCAGCTTAGTCTCAACACATGAGTCGTTGCAGAACATTCTGTGAATGGATCGGTGACCACTTCCTGCTGAGCCCAGTCAGATGTCCTCCAGATGCGAAGAGATTTGTCATCTGATTGACTGGCTATGTATTTTCCCACAGGATCCCAAGTGATACCCTAGAATGGAATCTATAAATAATTACGATTGTAATAGGTTATTGGATTGATCAACTGTCTGATAACAAAATTGAGAATATATTCATTCAATCTTCATTCACATTTTCGTGAACTAATTGATCTTGAATGTCTTATAATCAATTAACACAATACAGAAGTCGTATCGTCACGGTCAACGGTTAACTCTGTTTTCCGCGTACGAAGCTCTGAGGAGAATACTATAGGGTTTCTGATCACCATTCAATACCTCATGAAAAATGTATGAGGATATAATTGTGTCTTATTTCACTATTTAGAGGCATGATAAGAATTCTCTATTCTCTAGAAACAGTAAGATGTCAAATATGTATAGACACTTAACTTATTGGCAATGAGAATGCATGCCTGTCGTATGTTCTTGACGAAATATAAACGATAACATTTTCACAAAATTCTCAAAAACACGACATGATTAGTCAACACAATAGATTCTTCTAATGAAATACTAGAAAAATAAATTGGCATTTGAATGAAAAAATATTCAAAATATCACAATAATATTCAGAAAAGCCTAAATTTGTATCTCGGCAATATTTTCACAACTCTCTTTAGGTTGTGACTCAAATAAGTGACAGTGCTTGTTCTAGTGCATATATATATGTCCCTCCAGGCACTTGTTCTTTGCTTTCTTCTCCAAAATGGCTTCTTTCAAGAACAACTCTTTAGTCAAGCCCAAAAACTTTTTTCGTATTTGTTATTCCGCCCCCCATAATAAGGTAAGATAACTTTTACAATTTTCAATTGTACTTTTCTAATGTAGCGGCAATAATTTCATCTTCAAACATGTAAGTAAATTTGTCGGAACTTTACATAACTTCTTTCGAAACTATGCCTCCAGCATTTTGTATAATTGATCATGTTATTTCCTAGTAGGTGATATTTTCTTGTTCTCATGAGACTGATGATGGGCATAAATTTGCCCGAAACATGTTCCTTCTACCAATAATTTGGAAAAATATACCTCGTGGAGAGGACTATATGTATTACTTCTGGTCTCTATTAATTTCCTAACAACTTTTCTTGTTATTTTACTCTACATATATGTTATCTTCTACTTTACCTCATTTATTACAACTTCTGTAACCCCAGAAGTACAATTTTTGTGTGTTGGCTTCCATTGATCATGTTACCCATGAATGAGGATATATTTGATAGTTTTATCAAATACATTCCAAAATTGATTGAGTTATCAATTCATTTGTCAAAAACTGTCTTTTTCTTGGATCATAAAAGTGGTAATGAAAGAGTGAAAATGGAAGAAAGCATTTTGTAAATAGATATATAAGCGTTCACAAAAAATTACAGATTTCAAAAACATGGAAAATCAGGGTGGCTTATAAAAGTTGTTAAAAGGCCTTATTACGGCATTCAACTTTCCCATATTATTTTTTCTGCTCGATGAAAAATAACGTTAATATAGGGGTAGGCCCTTCGCTGGATAACCCTAAAGAAAGTTCGATAAAATACATCTGAATCTTCCTCAAATGAACCTCAAGAAGTTAATACGAATTCAGAACAACTCAATGGGTTTTGATCCACTTTGAAAAAGTATTTCCAGTCTTGCGCTCACTCCGCTTGAACAATGTGCAGGAGTTCCATTTAGTTGGTACCAACAGTTCGATATTCTTCGAGTGGCTGATTGTCGATGAAGTTCTCTATATTTTCCAAAATATTTAGACAGCTTCTGGAAGTCAATGACTCTTTGCAGATCATGTACCTCAATTGGTTGTCCATAAGCATATAAAAGACATAAAAACTATTTTTTTCTTGTTAGCAGCCTTCTTTTGTGACGTTACGTTTCTCACTGCACCACAAATTACAATGTTTTCTCTTGAAAATTTCATCTCGAGTGTGGGAAGCCTTCGATATCATAGTATTTCTGAACTCAAATATATCAGCATTTTTAAAGGACATGATTTCCATATTTGATTTTGATTTCCAGAACAATGACAGATTGGCATAGGAAAATATCAAAGGAGAGTTGAAAGGAAATTGTCGAAAACCCAATTATATCAAAGGTGTTCTGTTTGAAAAATCAAAGGTATTCTGTTTGAAAAATAAAAGTTGTTAATATTTTCTGATAGGAGTAGTAACACCGCGTTGTCGACAATATTTTAGTTGGATAGAGAATGGCCGAATATGCTCTTTATCAAATTACCAAAGTGATCCGTCGTCTAGTTCACCAGAAAAGTCTGATATAGTATCCAATGTGAATCCGCCTGTATAAAACAAACATTACGATTTGAACATAATTATCTGTGTTGAACACTCAAGCAATCCAAAGTACCAATATTATTGATATCACGATATTTCACTGATTTCAAAATACACGTTATTAATTGGTTGGAATATATAATAATAATAATAATAATAATTTATTCACAAAAATGATAGTACAGGGGTGAATAAAGAATATACCACGAAGCAGTGGACTGCTTGTTTGTGGACGCATTCTACAGTGGTTCTTATAAAACTAACATAGATTTGTTTATACAGAGTAAATAAGAAAAAGTGAAATATAATATATAAAATATGGAATGAGTAAAATATATATAAAAAATATGTGATACACTGATATAGGGCGAAGATACAATTTTATAGAGTTTCATGTAAAGATAAAATACAATAGTTTAAAAGATTATGATTAATTAAACATGTTATACTATACTTATATACTACTTATACTTATTAATTAGGGGTCTACTTGTTCTATAAACTAAGATGTGTAAAATTTATACTGCAGAAGTTACGATTTGAAAAGTTAAGTGTGGAAAGGTAAGGTAACGTGCATAGATGTAGCAATGTCTAAATATGTAAAAAGTGTATATATGCACAAAAATGAATATGTAGGTGTGTTTATTATATTCATCATATTCGTATAATATTATTATTCTTGTTATTACATATCTATAACTTCATGAATTTTTTGGCGCGGATTTCCTAGGACATATTTTTTTATTTGTGCTTTGAATTTTGTTATTCGATTCTCGTTCCTCAGGCTTTCTGGTATTGTGCTGAAAACCTTTGGTCCTAGGTAACTGTAAGTTCTCTGGCATATTGACTTGTGAGCAAATGGAATTTGGTAAAGGTAACGACCTCTGGTATTTTGTTCATAATTTTTTCTAAGTAGTTCTTGTTTATTTATGAATTGATTTGTTGCCAGACTCAAGAAGTATAGTTGTTTAATGTCAAATATTTTTGTTTCTAGATATAGAAGTTCTGTGGGATAACGTGGTGGCTTTTTAAATATTATTTTTATAATTCGTTTCTGAATGACTTCGATTTTCTTTAGGTGGACATTCGTTGCTGCTCCCCATCCGATGATACCGTATGTCAAGTGGGGTTCGAAAAGTGTGTGGTATAACATTTTTAATCGATCTTCTCCGAATATTCTTGACAGTTGCTTTATCTTATATAGTACACATCTTAGTTTCTTAAGGAGAAAGGTAATTTGCTCGTCCCATTTCATGTGGCTATCTATTTTTATCCCCAAGTATTTCATCGAGTTGGAAGAATTTATGTAAAAGTTATCTTGGAAACTAATTCTATCGTAATTCGGAAGATGCGAAATGTAGCTGCAGAAAGGCACGTAGAAGGTTTTCTGTACATTAATTGATAGTAGTTTATTGTCGAACCATCTTTTAATAACAGGAAGGTCAGACTCTACTTTCATTTTTAATTTCTCCCATGATTCTTGTTGGTATAAGATGACCGTGTCATCAGCGAAGCTTATAATATCCCCTTCAGATTCCACCATGAATAGGTTGTTCAGGTATATCGTGAATAGTACTGGTCCTAACACCGTTCCTTGTGGTACACCGCATTCTACAATTTTTTTATTGCTACGTGAGTTTTTTATTTTTACTTCTTGAGTTCTGTTAGTGAGGTATGACTCGAAAAGTGATTGTGCCGTACCTCTTATCCCTATGCTTTCAAGAGTTTCTAATAGTATCTGGTGATTGACCGTGTCAAAAGCTTTTGTCAAGTCCAGGAATACTCCAATACACGGTTTTTTGTTGTCAATTGCATTATATATTTTTTTGGTAAGGTGTAGAATTGCATCTTGCGTTGATTTTCCTTCTTGAAATCCAAATTGTGAGTTTGATATGATCTCATGCTTCTTTAGAAATTTTGTTAACCTATTTTTGATGATTTTTTCCAGAATTTTGCTGAAGGTAGAGATAAGTGCAATTGGTCGGTAATTTGTTCTCTCTGTATTTTCTCCACTTTTAAATATAGGTATGACCATAGAATTTTTAAACAGAGTAGGAAATTTTCCTGTTCTCAGCGATATATTGATAATATGTGTTAATGGCGTTATGATTTGAGGTATAATGGATTTTATTAGTTCTGCTTTTATGCCGTCTGGGCCAGGAGATTTGTTATTCTTAAGACTCATTATTGTGTTTATAACTTCTGTTTCTTCGGCTGGAAACAGGAAAATAGAATTTCGATTTATCTTTTTATTTTCTATATAATTTTTATCTAGGACGATATTGTTTGACAATTTTTTACCAATATTCACGAAAAAATCATTAAAATGTTCTGCTATTTTCTCGGGATTGTCAATTAATTTGTCTTCCACATTTATTTGGGATATAGAGTTATTATTTTTTGTTGGCTTGAGGAGTTCATTGATAGTTTTCCATATGTTCTTTGAATTTCCACAGTTTGTCAACCTGGTTTCATAATAATTAATTTTAGCAGTTTCTATTTCTTTTTTGAGTGCATTTTTATATTTATTGTATTCATTTTTCAGGGTTTCATTGTTTGGGTTTTTTTTTAGATTTTTGTGCAGCATATTTTATATGTGTTGACAATCCAAAACATTATGTTTTCGATTTTGTATTTCGGCTGCTGATTGGATACTGGGTAGTGCTAATCAAAAATAAAACAAAATAACTTACCAGCAATAGGCTGTCGATAGAAATTCATGTCAGTGAGGCTATCATGAATGTGATAAAATTTTCATATTCAGGAATTAATAACACTCAACACTAAACTTCAACCAGAATCGTGACAGGCACTCACTTTTAATTTGTATTGAAGAATTTCGATCGGCAATTGGAAGAAACAACTTTAATATCAACCTAATCTCTGGAGTTAAGTGACATCGGACATCGCTAAGCTAACACCTAACCTAACCGTACCCTTGTATTCTTCGATGTATTATTAATAGCATAACGCAACGACTGCAAATGAAAATACAACATGAAATTATTATTTTATTCATGAAATAATCTGGCGCTATGCGCTTGTGTGGTTTCCACATAGGAGAGTTCACTGATTTCACTTACCTTCACCATTCCCGTATGATTTTTCAGCAAAGAAACCTTTTCAGGAAACTTTTGTGCATTCCATATAATAACTGTATTATCTACACTCCCTGACGCCAGCCATCCGTCATGAGGAGCCCAAGCAATATCTAAAACATCCCCATTGTGAGAATTCAGGGTGTGAATGCACTTCCAAGTCTCAACATTGATTTTTCCACTGCCAAATATCGATGAACTTCCTTCGTTGGTAAGCCTCCAGATCATCACTAGTTTGTCGTCTCCTCCAGAGGCTAAAAGATGACCTGCATTGCTCCACCTGACTATGTTGACACATGCTGAAATTATTGAAATAACATTTTTATTACCATATAAAACGTGTCCAGCTATTATCGGAAAGGGCAATATCTATCTGGATATTGAATATTTTTTCGAAAATTCCAGGTTCAAAAGTACCATCCCATCATCGAATACTTCTGTACACAGGATATTGAATAAAAGAATGGAAACTAATATTTTTTCAACACTAGCGAACCATAGATACGAAATTGAACATTAGATTTTTGAAAATAGTATAATCCATACGAACAGAAATCCGCAAGTTGACCTTAGTAAAAACCTCACGGTTTTCGAGATATTGGGAATTTCATATACAATTAAACAAAGTTTCATGATAGAAATCATTAAGGATCCAAATCATAGAAAGATTCTTTTACACCGTAAATGACTACTATCAAAAATCTGCCTTTTACAATTATTTCAACTACTACAGTAATATCAATCAAAAATATGAATTTAACATTAAACGCTCCCTATTTGCTTGAAACATAAAAGATTGATCTGAGATAGGAATACCATTGTTTTTTTTTATGAATGATTCAATATCTCGAAAACCGTGAGGTTTTTACTGAGGTCAAGTTGTGATTTTCTGATAGGTAATGAACTCGTTATCAGCAGCTAGAGCATGATCAATGGTGTATCTGATTCCCTGTATACTTTATTATCACTCAAGAAGGGATATTTTTGTGGGCGGAGCTAGGCGACACGAAAATATAAAATATAATGAGGAACAGAATAAGACAACAGCATGAATACAGGATTCCACTTCCCACTATCGTATACAAGCACACGAAGGGTTCCTAATTTTATAGATCATGAGGATTTTTTGTGACATTAACTCACCTGTGTCATGTATTGAAAAACATTAACATATAGAATTGTCAAAGAAAATTTTATTTACGTGTAATAACTTCATGTACCAATTTCATTAGATTTGATCAAAAAACAGAACTGCAGTAGACGTGGTAGGTAGATGTTATAAGAAATATACACACACTGGCACAATTAGGGGAACGGGCAAAATTCACACTAAGTTTGACATCAATTTTCTTTCGAACCGATCGCTCGATTCAAATTTTTTTCTTCACGAAATGTAGCTTAATTCTTCACGAATACATCTGAGAAGTAATTACCTTCAAACGATGAGTCTTTCCAACATATACAGGGGTGTAAAGAAAGTACGGATTTTTCGGTATTTATTTAGACATCCTGTGGACTGAACCACTGATAATTGGATCGATTTCCCAACACCAAATTGGAGCCCAATCTATTCCGAATAGTTTCGTTTTTTATTCATCTCGATATCTCAATTATTCAAGAAAATACAGAGTTTCAAAGGAAAGGTGGATATTGGTATCAATTTTACACCTCAAAACTCAAATTGGATCTGAAAATGTGTCGTTTCTTGACTAACCTAACCTAACCATGACTAAACCTCTGCCATAGGAGACAGAAGCAGTAAGAGCAAATAGTTCATTTTGTTCACTTCGGCGATATAGTCTTTCCCTGCCATCTATTGAATTGGTGCAGATGCGGCTCTCATATTATGTTAAAAGAACATTGGCCCACTGGTCATTTTCAATTGATGCTACAGCCCTCGCCACATCAGTAGGAGTCAAATCTCTCACGTTGAATTTTCATTAATCAAATTTATGAATTGTGAATCGCTTGACTTTGACAATAATTAATGACATTAACAAAATAGCCAACGTTGATTAACAAAAATAGCATTTCACCAAAAGAACATTGGAGCAACTTTTATCACCCCTGCATATTCATGAGAGTATTCGTATATGTGTCTTTAAACAGTAAACCGATAGGTAAAACTGTGAACAATTCTCATCTTGAAGTAAAAATCCTCACAGAAACAAGTTGAAAAACGACACGTTCTCCCCAGTTCGAATTTCGAGGTGGTAAAATTAATACCAATATCCACCTCGTCTTTGAAACTCTATATTTTCTTGGATAATTGAGATATCAAGATGAATAAAGAACGAAAATATTCGGGATAGATTGGGCTATAATTTGGTGTTAGAAAATCGTTTCAATTATCAGTGGTTCACTACACAGGATGTCTTAAAGAATACCGAAAAATCCATACTTTCTTTACACCCCTGTATATGATATAAAGACGAATCGTTTGGAGGTGGTTATTTCACAGATGTATTCGTGAAGAATGAAGCTACAATTCGTGAAAAACAAATTTGAATCGAGTGATCGGTTCGAGAGAAAATTGATGTCAAACTTAGTGTAAATTTTACCCGTTCCCCTAATTGTGCCAGTGTGTGTATATAGTATTAAATTAAGTGAATTAGTAACATATTATGGTATATTATAATGTGTGAGATATAACAAGGTTGATACTGACGTAAGTCAGGTATATTATGATTAATAAGTAAAATATTGTTATGCTTATAATATAAATGACTATATAAATGATGACAAACAGTATGGTAACTTATGTTCCAAGCTGTACAAAATTTGGGATTGAATAAATTATAATGATTTTGGATACGAAATGAGACTGGCCTTGATTTATTGAACTTGTCCAAGTCCCGATATATAACATAGCGATCCTGACTGCCGAACAACATTAAAAATAGGGAAAAAGCTAATTGTACATCCTAAGGTCTGATGAAGAGCATGGCGAAGAAAAATTGAAAGTATAAGAAAAAATTCCAAGAAGTCGAAATGGGAAACGGAAAATCAAAATCTCCGTTCAGTCAACATATGTTAATAGGAGAAGAACCATGCTAAGAAGTATACTTTGTTTAAACATCAGAAAATGTTAAGTCTACTTATTTCCATATCACTTTGTAATATTTCTCAAATACCTACTTGAAAAAAACGATATACATGGACGATATTTCAGGCATTTTCAATATAAAATGACTGCGTTACCTATCTTTCATATCAAATAATGAGCATTTCAAACAAAAAGTAATAACAATTTCAGCTGACGGAGTAGGAGACTTACCAGAGGAATTTCCAGAAAGCAGAAAAAGCGCCCCACAATTTGAAGGAATGTCACAAAAAATATAGGATTAGGTGATAATGAAAGAAAAAATAGACAGTTTGTCTATATATTTTATATTTTATCATTTATTAGTTTATTTCTCGAAACATATATTTTGTTTAGACTGTAATAAATTAAATCTTTTGCTGAAGTGTTTTATCAATATTATTGTATATAAGGAGTAAATGTACCTTGATGCCTGCATAAGTTACCCCGACGGAATCCTAAAGTTACGTCTGTAAGTTATATACAATCAATCGGCTTTCCGAAGCGGCTGATTGTGTCGGTAACATATGTATATGCGTCCGGCATACAAAATCAGCAAAAGATTTGTGGGACAAATTTATATCGCTCTTCGACGACTCGAGTATACATACAGCTATATATCTCGGAAATAGTTCTATTTCATCAGGACTGAATGACAATATACCATGAAGTTTGGAATGGCGTCAAAGCAAATTTGAGTAATATCAAAATATTTGCCTCTACAGTTATGGTTCATGTTCCTCATATCAAGAGAAAGAAATTTAATAAAACTGAAAAATGAGTTTAGTGGAATTTGGAGAAACAGTCAAGGGTTATAGACTCTTCAATAGCAAAACAAACACAATAGTGACTAGGGTAATGATGCTGAATAGTTTTTTTTTTGTCATTTATTAGAATAGGTATCGTATCAATTATAAACTGGTTAAAATTACATCACCCAGTATTTTTGACAGTTCATCGAAGTCGAACTATAACCGAAATAATAGTTTAAAATCCTCTTCTCTTATATAATGAGTAGTAATAAAAGTACGGGTCTAAAATAGCTCTCAATTGACCATAAATGAATTTGAATAGATTTGGTTTTGATATGTTGCGACTAGAATACTCATAGATTTAATCAACTATTGTCATGTTAGATTAAGTAAGAAAAATGACATGGTATATTCAGGCTATATTTCGAATTCAACTGACAGTACTGAATCTGCTGATTTTCCAGTCCATAATCAAAAAATTCACTGGAAGTGACAGATGCTTGTCAGCAGACATACTATTCATTCCAAATATTTCGACTCAACATTCTGCTGGAATTGCTGAGTATCAAAAGGTAGTGTGGCTTCAGTGAACTGTCATGTTTTAGAGGGGGAAGGAATGAAACATTCATTTCCGTTATTAATGAAATGATTCTCAATATCAGAAAATACCTGGAGTATGAAGTAGTATAGAGCAGGTAAGTAAAGGAGCAGCATTGGCTAAATAAACCGAATAAACCTGGAATGTCTCCTAAAATTCATCATTATTAAGGCATATTGCGATTTTCATGAATCTCAATTCTCAATCTGGTGCATCATGAGAAATTTATGGCAACAAAATGTCCAAGTATTCTTCATTACTCGAGCTTGAATCGCCATCGTCAACAATCGTAACAATCGTAGAAACTATAGAGGATACAAGAATCGATTTCTCTTCCATGTTAAATATTAAATTTCAAAAATGTATAACAAGTAGGAGGCTAAACATCTAGTTCAGATAAACGACTACTGATGAAAACCATGAAAACGTGTCCCGAATCACAGTAGTGAATTTTTGATTTTATATTCCGGAACACAGATTTTCAGCAGAGTCAGTGGATCAACTTACAGTCTTACAGTACTGACCAGTTGAATTCGGAATATAGCCACAATCATCCCTATTTCTCAACTAGTCTTCAGAATCTGTCAATACCAAGTCATGTTTATGTCATTTAGTTAGGTGCAGATTCTATTTCCAGTTACTTTTATTCATTTATTATCCATCTGATAACAAATATGATTAATTCAGTTAGGGAACCGAACAGTTTGATTTATAGTAGAAATGTTGTTGCAATGCAATATATTGAGAAAGAAAATGAAATATTCGTAAAACTTGATTATGCAGAAAACAAAAATGAAATGATCAAAAATTGACACCTTCAGTGAGGGAAGATTTGGAAGAAAATTCAGAACATTTTCATGATTGTGA